AAGTAAGGGAAGACTATCCAGGGAGTGTGGCAAGAAGTGGGCAATTGAGACGGGAAACTACATAGTGCAGCCACACTTAAGCTGCATCTATCAGATACGGAATGGATTTGTTATGCCTTTATTCATAAGCAGGTAGACTACTCTACTCGGTTCCAGATTTTGCTGTACTGCCAGCTTGCAAAAATTAAGATGAACTACTGTGGAAGTGGAAGATCGGAAGGTTTTATAAGGAAAAATAAGCATTTCCCTCATTCTTTCCTTTTTTTAAGAATTTTCGGATCCTTTTTCAAAATCAAAGCATTTACACGGTCTTCCATTCTTGTGATAATGTCTATAGGAGGGAGACTTTCTGACCCATCGTGAAGAAATGGTCTGCAATAACCTTGAGTTTGGGTAGGACTATCGCAGCTCATTACTTCAACCTTGCACAGATTTAATACGCAATTCTACATACTTAAACATGGATCGCAAAATAAAACTTTTAAAACTGCAATTACTATAATTGTAAATATTACATTTTTATTCTTTAAAAGGGTTATATATCACCAGTGATTACCTAAATTATTATAATCATCAAATGTCATTACACTGCTCTCGCATCAATATTATTTCTAGCAAACAGATTGTTATTATTCATAATATAGTTTAAACTTCGACATTTTTGTGTTTTTAGTACTAATTATCGGCATCGTCGCCCCTATCTTGTTGATCCATGTCTACTTCATCATGCCATGGACTCTATTTCGGCCCATTTTGCGTCGATACCGGCAACGGCGCAGCCGTAAGCGTCGTAGATCTGCTGGCAGTCGGCCTCGTTCTCATCAGTCAGGAAGTCAATTCGCCGCACTTACCACTGGTCATCGAGACCCTAAAAACCCTGACAAGGCGTCAAAGGCTTCAATCCAAATCTCACACGATGCGGAAAATGCTGACCGGAGTTCATTAAATAGTGAAGATGAGCAAACTGAAACAGATGAAGATGATAAAAATACAAATATAGATCTAAGTATTTTTACTGTAGACTATATTCGTAAATTGGACTGGGATGCTGTGGCTCGACGTAACAACAACTCAGAGTCGTGCACTCTGGAGGCTGACATGACTACACCAGACAAGCAGGGAAATAGCTCCATGGCCGATGGGAATATGTTTATGATCAATAGGGTACGTGAGTCTGGCAAAGAATATTTTATCCAAGTTTGGTCACTCAATAATTTTTTA